AAAAAAAAAAGATTGATTAATGTGTTCTGTCTCTCCCCACAGGCCTATTACTACAGTGCTATAGTGGAGGATGTGTTGCTGCGTTTCTCATGGACTTTGACTGTCACCCTCAGCGCAGTGTCTGGGTTTCATGGCATCTCTGATATTCTGGCTACTGTGCTCGCCCCAATGGAAGTCTTTAGGTGTCTATTATCTCTAAGTCTTGTGACTTGCCCTCGTAATGTCATCCCTATCTTTTCGTCCTGCTCTTATTTTTCCTATTTCCTACTCTTGCTCAGGTTTTACAAATTAAAGTAGCACAGCTGCAGACCTGGATTTGGTTTAGATTATCCTGTTAATAACAGATATAAGACAAAGAGAAGTAAATAAGTGAATTCTTCTTAATCTCTTTCTGACACATCTGACAGGTGCAGTGCCAGAATGTACCAGGTAAAATATATAAATGTTGGTTAGAAAATATCAAATTAGAAAGAATATTCTATGAGTTAGAGTTAATCTGTTGATCAGTGTGTCCATTTGTCTTCATTTCTGGAGTGGAACATTTTTTCATGAAATTTCACAATCATGTTAATCAGGTAGTGAAGTGGAGCCTTTTGATATTTTAGGTTTTCACAAGAGAAATATTACTCTTGACTTCAGGTAAGTGTGAAAGCAACAAATATTCAGCTTGTTTAGGTTTTCTGGGTGCTGAGGGATAAGTCATTTCCTGGTGACTTTTGTTTCCAGTATAGATTTATCAATTTACAATCACAAAATCTCTTTGAACCAGGGAAAATTCTTAAAATTTTTTGTTTTGTACTGTCAACATTCTGAAACTCATAAGCTACAAAATCAGTCAACAAAAAGTCCTCATGTTTGGAAAAACTTTAAACAGCAAATATTGATATTTGATACTAACAAATGTCTGATTGCAGTTAATTTACTGCAGTTTCAGATTCAGAAGCTGTGCCATTTCAATGTTGCTGCTTGTGATATAGGAAATGCTCTACTGCCTGTGCAAGTGCATCATAGTGTGAAATATTTTGCATTTAAAATTTGAAATCTTTGAAATATATCCTCCATGAAAGTCATCTCTCATGACCCGTATGTAATGATGACTAGCATGATGAGGATGTGGTTGACGGAAGGATGAATAAGAATCAATACTAATAGGCAGTGTTTGTCCTTGGCAGGCGTTTTGTGTGGAACTTTTTCCGACTGGAGAACGAACATCTGAACAACTGTGGTGAGTTCAGGGCTGTCAGAGACATAAGCGTGGCTCCGCTCAATGCTGATGACCAGACCCTGCTGGAGCAGATGATGGACCTGGAGGACGGAGTCAGAAATCGGCAGGGCAAGAAGAGCTGGAAGAGGAGCTATAGCATGAGTCTACGTAGGCCACGACTTGCCTCACAGTGAGTCTTCAAAACAACAGCTGCAGTCTTGTGATGGATCTTAAATGGACCCTGTACCCTAAAGTGTGACTGACTTATCTGACTGGAATGAATGTTGTTGATGGATTGGGTTCATCTCTAAACCTCTGTTATTAATTACAATTGATAGTTTTGTTTAATATGTAGAGTGCAGTTCAGATTCCCAGACAGATACATGCACAGCCATTTATTTTTCAGTTCTAATGGACACATTAAAGCGAGAGCCACATGTGAGGGATCCCTTTCCCAAGGTTGACAGAGGTGCAATAGATGTTGTGTGTAACAGAGGACATCACCAACTGGTATTTCACATGATGGCCTTTTCTGATGATGATTTAAAAACTGAATGTGAATTCTCGCTTGAGTGAACGTTGCATTCATCATACGTAAACTGATTAGTTCAGTTCATCTTTCACAAAAAATATGAACATGTTCAATAAACGCTGTTCATGCACAACACTGACATGAGTACCATGTATTGCAAGTAAGTAAAGCTATGACTGAATATTAGCTTGGATGTCTTCAGGCACGGATTTTTATCAATTGTGAAGTTTTTGCAGGAAGCTATAACCATTTCCCGTGTCATTGCCATATATCACAAATTTGACTCCATCCTACAGACAAAAATGAAAGACTTCTTTCTCATGGATGTCTCTAGATTTACACACTGTAATTTTTAAGTGAATCTGATAAATTCTGTTGAAGGAGTTTGTTAAATATAACTTGTATGACTTGCCCTTTTAGGTTAAGGCTATGGTCCCACAAGGCTTTTTCTACGTCTTGGCATTCCACATTTTCTAGGTGGTGCTGTTGAGCCATTTTGCCACACCCATGCACAAGACCCATATTTTTTTTGCCATTTCTGAAGCCTGTGCTAAGTATCACATGTTCGTGTGTCTTGCAACGAGGACATTTTACGCCACATCTCTAACATGGTGTTCGACGAAAACTTTTCCATGTGACTACATCATTGATGTCTTAAGGCCCTTCTGACAAATCAATGAGGAGTACATCAAAAAAAAATTGCTGTTGCCACTGGGGGGCGCTGTTATTTTAACTTATGGTTTCTGTGTAGTTGTCGTCAGGCCAGGACTGTTGTCATACATGTCCAGTTTGGAATCAATTGGACCATGTATGTCTGAGATACAACAGTATGTTTGGATGGCGAGTCATCAAAATATAATGCCACGCCACCTTCAGACTCAACAGCTGCATCCTTTTCACAGCGAATCCCCCATCACCTCCACAAAGATGCATTCTCTCGAAACTTGACGGGATGTCAGACTGTGTCCCTGCGTCCATTGGGTGGCACCAGGGATAATTATTGCTGATCACTGCTTCCGATTCAGCTGAGATCTTGGATCGGCTGTGAAAAATTGATGTTATTCCAAGGAAGTTTAAACTAGAGTGACTACTTAAGGTTTTCAGTAGGTGGCGCTGTTCAGCCATTCTTCCTCAGCTGCCAATTATTGTCCATGTTCACATAGTGACTCTCATTGTACATGTCTACTTTGAGGCAAATTGGAGCATGTGCAGTGACGTGACTTCACTTCCTTGTTGGTTGGCGTTGCATCAAAATCCACGCCATCATCATTCAACATAGAGGCTTAAGTTTTTGAATATCACTTCACCAACATCTCAAGCCTTGCCTGACCTTTTTTGAGGTGCTTCAAATGGAAAAAGTTAGGTGTAGCAAATCAAACTATAAAACATGGTACTCCCTGTCACAGCTAGGGGGCGCTGTGAGTATTATAGTATATTTGCATATAGAACTCTTCAGGGTCGGTTCCTTATCACACAAGTTCACAGTGTTTGACAGTAATTGGAGCACAAACATGGTTACAGTGATTCGCCGCCATGCCAAGGACACGCCCCTGATGATTCTATGGCATCACTATTGCTATTGAGCCATTTTTGGAAGAAAGTTCCCGACCACATTAAATACATACATTTTCACCAGACTGGACATACTCGCACAATTTGGTGAGTTTCCAAGTATGATAAGGCCCCCAAAAAGGCATTTCTATTGTCAGAAGAAATCCTAGCAAAAATAGGTCCTTGCACTGTTGTGGTCGGGACATAATAATAATCAAAATAGTTTCAATAGGGTTGTTGCACTGTCGCGCTCGGGCCCTAATTAGTGCATTCAGCATCTATGAGATAAATTAGATTACTTTCATTGAGGTATACAGCCCACCTACTGTAACAATCAGCTGATCATGTCTTAATACTCCAGTACTTGGTACTTAATCCAGTGTGCAACCAAAATTTTCCTTGGTTGCACCAGTATGCCAAACATTTAGCTGGTCTGTCTGTGTATTTGATGGAGTTGTGTCGCTCATTTCATCTCCACCCTGTTGGAAACGTTGGCATGCTCACCTAATACAATACATACCTATAAGCTCATTTAAATCAAAACCATCCTGTTCACTGAGCTGGTAACATGTATCCTGTGTCAAATGATCAATATTTATTCGCTGACAGAGCCAGGGAGTCAATTTAATTCATTGTTGTGGTTTTATGTGGTTTGTTTTATTTATTTAGGGTATTTCAATATGTTTTAATCTAATTTAAGTGTCGGACTGAATATTCTTTAGAATTAAGTTCCAATCGAATCTGAAATCAAATCAACATCTTGTGAATCGGAATGGAGTCAATTTGGAAAATCAGTTACAATACCCAGCTCTAAGTTAAGAAATTACCAATATATTTTGGAACTGTCAAGAAAAGGTATAATAGGTGTATTATTGTGACGCCAAAAGACACAGTGAAACATTTTGGCTGCACATAAATTATGTGCTGGTGGGCCTCAATGAAAAAGTTAGTCTGGAGCCCTTGGCTTATCACATATATATGTGATGTTACTATAATTGGTATCATCATTTAGTTTGTCCAGCAGACCCAGACTCCTTTGTTTGCTCCATGTGCAGCAGACAGTGCTGAGTATTGTATAGTATACATCATGAACAATGACCACAAAGGTTTCCCTTTCCAAATTGTTCATATCTATATTGATATTGGAATTTGTGATTCAGTTTCGGCCAGAGAATGCCAGTGTTGGCCTGCTTGCGTCTCCTTTTTTTGTGTTTGATTATTAAATAATTGTGTACTTGCATATTAAATATTGTTTGTCTGATCATTGTCGTAAGTGGTAGCTCTAGGTCAAGTGGTGTTTTCTAAGCTTGTCCTGTTTCAGTGCAAGTGTAGAGAGCTGACAGCATCTAACCTGTGTTATAAGCTCAAAGACAGTAGGAAATCACACTCTCCCTTTTCACCTCCAGGTCCAAGACCCGTGACACCAAGGTTTTGATAGAGGACACTGATGATGACTCCTGACATCAGGCCACGCCCCTCGCCTGGGTGCAGAATTTGTTCAAAGGAGGGAACTCCACCTCCTAACCTAGGAATTACCCAGTGAGTTGGGCATTGAGCTCTCAACCAAGGACAGGTTTTAAACTCTCATGCCTACATAATGCGTTTTCAGGAGGCTCTGCTTGGGTTCAGAATCAATTCAACAGTGGAACTTAATCAAACTTGTACAAACATCCTTGCCGAAAGGCCATCAACCTCCTACTGCTACCTTCAGTAAGACCCAAGGGTGGGCTTATCACTTACACCCTACCTTACCCAGCAGCGGGTGACAAACCTGTCTCCCTGTCACCCATAACCACACAGAGGTAGACTCCAGAACTACAATCACTCCTTCGCCATTGCTTTGGTTCTCCTCAAAGCCTCAGCCTAGCATGAACAATGCAGCTAAATGGAACGCAAGCTGATAGCACTGACAGGAAGTGTCCCCGCTCCCTGTCCATGCCACATAACTCCACACAGGAAGAGACCGCTTCAAGGTGACTGCTGTTAAAAATGTTGAAAAGTTTTACTCCCTGCCTTTAGCTGTTAGTCTCCTCCTACACTCCGAGCGTCCAGGCTTCAAGGCCTTGGATAAATGATGTACCACCTCAAGATCATCTGTAATTTGGACCCTGGAGTGAATCTGAAACCACTTCTTTTTTCTTCTAGAAGAATAAACAGAGTTGTAAAGTTGTCCTGCACTTCTCAGACCCTTGGCTTACCTGTTGGCTTACGCTGGCCAACAGAATGTGCAGACACACATTGTTCATTGCTTTTCAGCTTGTCGCATCATCACAGAGCTGCCTATCTGCACCTTACATGCTTTAGAAACACACACACAGAAACAAGCACTTTGTCGGAAAAGTCTATTGGAATGCCTGTTGTTTGTTCACACATACACATACTCACACACACACACTCATAAGCAGTGGTTTTTTTTAACCTGGGTTAAAAAGACACACACACAAACACAAGCTATATATTATTTGTAACCGTGGTTGTTGTAAATATGAAATGGACCAAAGAAGGTGTGAAAATATTCAGAAAAATTAAAAACGACTTTATTGAACAGCAGCTGGAATGACTGTTCAGCCACAGAGCTGAGAAAGAATTGTTTGTTTGTCTGGAAAAGGATTGTGGTCTTAATTGTCCTGCATTAACTCAAACACTGTGTGATGAAATACCCTCCGTTGTAAAGTTTAAACCATTTTTGTTCAATGTATGCCAACATATTCATGTATGGATGTGTGAGAGTGATGCCTAAATACCACCAGTCAACCCATTCAGGCCAATTACTTTTCAAAAGCTTAAAGAAACTGAGTGAAGATGAATCCAGAGGAAGTTTTCTCAGAAACTGTTATTGTCATCTGTAAAACTGTTCACTGAAATGTGATGATGAAGAGGGAGGAGGTTGCCTGTCTGTCACATGCTAGATGTGAGCCTAAATCTGATTGGGGGGGGCAGCCACGTGGGATTGAATCTGAATCGCTATGTTTCTAGTCATTCCTCATATGAATGTTCAGTGTGGATACAGTTCAGGATTTAGGACTGTTTGGAGTCTAAGATCTCTGATTTCATGACAGCTTTTTCGAGAAATGAATATCGACACATTTATTTATTTGTCTTTGTATTTGTGCTGAAATTGCTTGGGCAAGAGAAAATGGCAAAATATGGTTGTATTTTATATATACTTGTGTTATGTGTGTACACACACAAGGTTTTCATGGCAAGGTTAAAGATTTTTTTTCCCTATACACAGACACGTTTGTTTTTCTATAGTTGCGAGGACGCTTATTAGCATAATGCATCCCCTAGCCCAAGTCTTAAGCCTCAAAAGTCTCTTTAAAATTGTGAAGGCTGACAAAATATCCTCTCATTTATGCTTTTGATTGTGTCAGATGAATACCAGTCAGGAAAAATGGAGAAGTTGTAGCTCCGATATGTATGAATGGAGGACACAAAATGAGAAATTAGTAAAAACACTGATCCAAATCAGTTCTGTAGTATTGTACTCACTACGTTTAATTTATTACATCAGAGGCGTTATTCTTGGCTTCAGGGAATGTCATCCCCTCAGTCTTTTTGACCAAAGCATTGTGGTTTTGCATTTGTAGTTTGACAATGTCCATCAACAGCAGCACTGCATGCACTAATTTCAGTGTGTGTTTCCAATTCATCAGAGCCATAAAACAGAATCCTCTGCTGTTGTTTGGTAGAGACAATTAGTTATGTTTACACTGGAGAATTTTTTTTACAAATCTTTTTAAAGGTTCAGTGTGTAGAATTTAGTGACATCTAGATGTGAAGTTTCAAGTTGCAGGTGAATACTTCTTATCTCACCCTCCCCTTCCTAACAAGAAAGAGAACCTGTGGTGAACTTCAGTTGTCATAAAAACTCAAAAGGTTTTAGTTTAGACATGGCGGCCTCCACAGAGAGGATCCCCCTCCATGTAAATATAACATTTTTAGATATAAAGGGCCCATTCTATTGTAAAGAAAACAACAATTTAGATGATTACACACCAGTGACACAAATCATTAGGATTACTTTATATTCAATTGGCAACTGGGATGTCCAGACTAGTTGGAACGCTGCAGCCCTGGTACTGACACACACGCAGACGTTGTGTCGCCATTCATTGACTTAAATACATTCCTTTCATGGAGACAAACTACAACTTGCCTTGCTCTTACCAACACCTAATCTTCTCTTAACCTAACCCTAACCTTACTATAAACCTAACCTAAACTTACTCTAACCTTAGCCTAAACCTGAAGTTCACTTAACGTAACCCTAACCTTCTCTAAGCCTAACCACAGTTTAATTATTATATGTAATGTAATAATCTTAACCTAACCTTACTCTAACCGAAATCTAAACCTATCCCCTAACCATACATTAATATTAAACCAAACCTTAACCTAACTTTCCCTTAATCTAACTTCAACTTAACCCCAATCTTAACATTTAATGATGATGTTATGGGAACTTTTTGTCCCCACATTGTGGCCATGTAAACAGATCAAGGTTCCTACTAGTTTCTGTACGTGTTTCAACTAGAGCTTTGAAATGAGGCTGTTGTCCTCACTGCTTCTGTCTTCGAAACCTTCTATGTCTACTACCCTAGAAGAACTGTTGAGTTTTCTCCTTTTAATTGCACCACTGCTATTTTCTCCTTCCTGTGGGTTTCATGTGATCACGTCGTCCTTTAGAAGAAATTTGGTTAGAAACCCTTCACTTTGTTATAAACAACATTCCATAGGGACACATTAGATGAGACACCAGGTCTTAGCGACTGTGTTAGCCTGTTCACAAGCTGGACATATGCTTCTTGACTGCTTTAGCTTAGCTAATGAAAGCTACAAATGCGCATCCAAATCCAGCAAATTACAAATATGGTGATCCCTGGTGGTATGGTGAACAATTATGAATCTGTTCATAGAGTTTTAACACTCAGCCTTTGGTGATTTGGACTTTGTTTGACTGGAGTATTGTTTTGCTACATTCCACATGATGCCTCAAACTCAAGTAAACTCTGTCAGTAGAGGGTATCAAGTCCACATATGTTTTTTGGCACAGACAGTAATGTGATCGTGTGAGGCCAGGCCACCAGCTCTGTATGCACAAGAACACACTGCTCCTCATCCTTCAGTCATCACTGGACCACCTGCCCTGGAGCATGGAGCCTCTTGGAGGAGGAGGATCCAGTGACAGGGTTTCTTTTAGACACAAAGCATGCTGTTGATACAATCATATTGTCTTTTTATATTTTAAGCTTGTCTCTTTTTTTGTCTTTTTTTTTCGGATTAACTTGATGAGATTATGCCTGATGATCTGAGATTCTTCATGCTCACTGGCCCAAAGCTTCTCAGCGTTGAACAAACACAACCTCAACCTGGATCGGAATCCTTTGATACCCACACCGACCCAGTGCTTCTTGACTGCTATAGCTTAGCTAATGAAAGCCACAAATGTGCATCCAAATCCAACAAATTACAAATATGGTGATCCCTCTGTATGACAACCAAGCCTAACAGCATTAGATGTTTTACCTTTTATGAATCTGTTCATATAGTTTTAACACTCAGCCTTTGGTGATTTGGACCTTGTTTGACTGGAATATTGTCTTGCTACATTCCACATGATGCCTCAAACTCAAGTAAAATCTATCAGTAGAGGGTAGGGCTGGGTATCGAGCCCACATATGTTTTTTGGCACTGACAGTAATGTGATGGTGTCACAGAGTTTATAATGAGCTTATAGTGACTGTCTGGTCAATTTTATGAGTTTCATTTTAGATGTTTTTAGACATAGTTATGAAACAGCTGTTTGGTAATATTTAATACTTCAAAAGTTTGATTTCTTTTATTAAATGAAAAGTGAGGTCTAGAAGTTTTGTGTTAATAATTTGCCAAATGAGGAACCAAAACTCTAGATACCCAGCTCTAGTCCAGACTGGTGGAATCTATTCAACAGGCCTATTTTTCAAGATTTCACAGCGCAAGACTTGTACGTGACCATGATCTCATTAGTTGCTTTACAACAAAGCTGCACATTTGGCCTCTTGTGAGAACTTCTCTGTACTCTTAACCCAAAACTTCACATACTTTTATTTTGCAAGGTTTGTCTGTGTTGATATTTCCCAAACTTCCTTAACTGGACTTAGGTGCAAATGGTTTGTTTAAACCTGACAGACGTTACCTGCTCATATTCATGAACCTGCCTTATCATGGCCCCTACACTGTAAAACATCATACAAGAATTCTGTGAAATCAGTTCAGATTTTCTCATCTAGTTGTAAAGATTGAAAGAATTCATGTCTGGCTTTTGTTATTTTGATCATCTACAACAAATAACTTCACTCAACTCATTAAACTAGAAATAAGAGATATCCCAGCATTCCAATTCAAACTCTCCAGAGCATTGTTTCATGTAGTTTGAAAAGGAACATATTGCAGTGTATATGATACATGCTATGATAAGTCCTGTTTTTTTCATGATGATGGGAACCATTCTGACCATGAAGATAATTGCTGAGTTCTGTCCCCATCATTCAAACATTTAACAGCTGCAGCTATTAGTTCTGACCCAGTGTAACATATGGTATGTCAGTGTCACTGACCAGGTTAACATTAAACTTATTATCTTCAGTTTGTTGAACTTGTTTTGTTCAGTTAACTCACATTTCAATGCAGAAGTTGTGTTTTTAAGTTAAACTAGTTTAATAATGAATCAACTTTTGCCAAAGAGATGACTGATTTAACTGCTTCAGTGTACTAAAACATTTAGAACATACTAATACAATGTTGCACAGTCAGCAACATGTTAACATAGTGTTTTACCATGGAGAATAGGTTAGTACTTGACTTGAAGGACAGGTCTGGACCACTTAACTCTAAATACAAAAAATGGGTGAATGTCACAAATTTTGTTAAATCACTTGCTTGCATCACTACAGATGTGTTTGTATGAGAAGTTACTGCCGGGGCCCAATGTCTTGAATTCCTCAAACTTGATGGATTTATCTGAAAGACTTGGTTTGTCTTTTCTTGCTGTTTTTTTCAAGTCTGAGTACATTTGAACCAGTTATGGACGACATTTAGAGCTTTAGTGAAGCAGTTTTAAACATTCTGATCAGAATCAATTGGTGTGATTGAGTATGAATTCCTCATGTTGGAAACATATCAAGTTATGTTGAAGTTGGTTCTACCCTGGAAGACTGCTCCAGGGTTTCTTGCCTCCGATCATTCTCCATTCTCCGATGCTGAATTTCAGAAGTTTGATTTTTAAAGATATTTGGAGTTTGTTGAGCCCAGGTGTGAGGCCATGCCACCAGCTCTGTATGCACAAGAACACACTGGTCCTCATCCTTCAGTCGTCACTGGACCACCTGCCCTGGAGCATGGAGCCTCTTGGAGGAGGCGGATCCAGTGACAGGGTTTCTTTTAGACACAAAGCATGCTGTTGATACAATCATATTGTCTTTGTATATTCTAAGCTTGTCTCTTTTTTTGTCTGGTTTTTTTTTCCGAATTAACTTGATGAGATTATGCCTGATGATCTGAGATTCTTCATGCTCACTGGCCCAAAGCTTCTCAGCATTGAACAAACACGACCTTAACCTAGATCAGAATCCTTTGATACCCACACCGTGTGACCCAGAGCTGTTGATTATACAATACATTATATAATATATTGATTAGAAGCATTGTATAATCAGTTACTGTGCCGTGGCTGTTGTCTCGTATTTACAGTAGCAACGTGATGCTACAGAGGTGCCTGGTCCACCAACCCCTGTTAGTTTTTCAGTAAAATCAGCTCAAAAATGTTTGTGACTCTGGTTCTCATTTTATCTCTCATCATTATGTCTATTTATTACGATAATGTGTGATACTGATGCTTGTGTGTGTTTACCACACACATGAATTTCACCATTCAGGTGAGATATTCTCTCTAAAAGTAACATATACAACACACTGACACATTCAGTCTCATTTTGTGGCTCAGACTGGATACATTTAAGCAGTAGTGGTAACTAAAAGTACAGTACCTTTACAATACTCTAACCCTAACCTGTAAGTGTGGGTAACAGCCAGGTAACATTGTAGCCAGAGACATCTTTGGTAGAGAAAATTAGTTATGTTTACACTGGAGACATTTTTTATAAGTCTTTTTTAAAGGTTCAGTGTGTATTATTTAGTGATATCTAGAGGAGAAGTTGCATGTTGCAGCTGAATACTCCTCATTTCACCCTCCCCTTCCAAACATGAAAGAGGACCTGTGGTGAACTTCRGTTGTCATGAAAACTCAAAAGGTTTTTGTTTGTCCAGTTTGGACAACAGTCAAAAACATAGCAGCCCAGTTTTTAGATATAAAGGGCTCATTCTATGGTAAAGAAAACAACAATTTATACAATTTAGATAAAAACACACCAGTGAAAACATAAGGATTAATATTAAATTTCTGCTAATAGATCCCTTTCACCTAAATCTTACACACTGGACCTTTAAAGCTACCAACGGGTGCCACCCTTCACAAGAATGAAAAGGATAGCTATTTATTGATCAATTCTCATGAAAGTACCAACTACAAATTTGGAACTCTGATTAATAATTTAATTGATAACTTTAACCAAAATGACCACGTCAGTAGTGAGCAAAGTTGAAGGATATGGATTTCTTGACAATGTAGACGTTGGCAAAAATTCACACTTGAGCAACATTCATTAAGACAACGTGT